AGTCTTCCCAAAACTCCTAAATGATAAACTACGATCAGCTAGCCAAAATTTCTTGCATTCAAACTAAACCTTAACTTTTACTTCCTTCTAAGCGATCAGTACTGGTGAATGATTTATTTCAGATGGCAGATGTTTTGATAGTTAGCAATAGCCCTTTAGCTGACTTCGGGCTTCACAGAGAGAAGGGGGAACATCAAAGTGAGATAAATTTGTGAGGGGGAGACAGAATAATGGTTCAAAGATGCAAAAGAGACAGACACAAAGGTAGGGAGAAAAGGTGAGTTGAGTACTGTGAAAGTTGTGGAATATGACATACAGTAGGGTCATAGTAGTTTGATGTCAGAAATCAACTGCCGGTTAATAGTCTATTTTGCCGTATGAGTGCCCAAGGTGCACCAAGTAGAGGAAAGTATTTTGCTTAAAGTTAAAGTTGTTGTTTCGTTGTTTCCCAAATTTGAGTGTGTCATTGCAAAAGTCTTCACTTGCAGACCGAAAACGAATCCAAACGGAAATTTATTTAAAATCATTTCCCCATTACCTCTTCCCGACACCCCGAACCATAACTCCGGAAATGATTCTACGTGGGATCATCATCCAACTTTGTGCACCAACAAGTTTTGCCAGGAGGCGTTGAGTTAAAGTGAATAAATTATAACCCAGAGTTAATAAGTCCAAAGATCTATTTGTAATTATTTATAAAATGAGCATAATTGTTGAAACCTGTTAAACTACGTAGCTGTTACATTTCAAAATTTGAAATAACTTCGTGAGGAGATTGTTGGGGGATTTTTTGATATTCCAGGGGATAATTAAGTTAAAGCAGTAGTTGAGATAGTAAGTATTAGCAAAAGCATACGTGCATTACGAAATAATCATTACGATGGATTAGAAATTGGAAAATATATAAAGTAATTTTATAAAAGATCATTGGACAATTGTGGGGTGCACAACGCTACTCAGACAAACTAGAAGGTGTCACATGGAGAGGAAGTGTGATGGTGAGAGTAGAAATCTCTCAGCTAACCACCAATCAACAGTCATCGCATCGTTTAGCAATTAAAACTAATCTCATGTCACTAATCATACCGCAATAAACGCTATTAATACCATCCACTGTTTCCTCGACATCGTTATGATGCCTTAGGTGATTTCGGGAGTCATTCCACGAAAGAGGAACTTGTCAGGGCTTATCCGTGTGGTAAATTGAGGAGCTTAGAATTACATTGAACACAGATATTTAGCATTTCGGAAAACGGTGATACTTTCGGACTCACAGTCAGCAATAGACACTTTCGAACTCACAGTCAGCAATAAACTCAATTGGAAGTAGATTTCGAACTTACAGTCAGCAATAGACTCTATTGGAAGCAGAGATACTCACAGGCAACAATAAACTCAATTGGAAACAGAGAGCGTGATACTTTCGGACTCACAGTCAGCAATAAACTAATGTGGAAACAGAGATCCAAAACAGCTGAGATAAACGAATGTAGAAAACTCTATCACCTGCTGAGAGAGAAAACAAAACAGTGCTGCTACAATGGATTCCTGGTCACTGTGGCATTAAAGGCAATGAGCTTGCTGGCACACTTGCTAAGAAGGGGACAACGATTTTGCAATGCATGGACCGCCCGATGTCTTTCCACATAATGAAGGCCTTAATCAGAAGAGAATTAAAGACCTCAAGGTGCAACGAACTTAAAGCTCGAACAAAGGAGAAACAGTGGACAGTGGCTTTCTCCGGCATAGCCGACTGGCCAAGAATCGAAGCCGTTGTTGAGTTTAGACTGCGTACCGGTCACGGTTGCCTGTCAAAACACCTTCACAGATTAAGAGTATACACTCAACCAACATGCCCTCTATGTAACCTACAGGGGGAAATGGAGAAGACCCACCTGATTCGGTGTCCAGCCCTCAAGACAACGACGGAAACCCAGAGATACTTGGAAGCAAGAAGACAGCTAATGAACTGCTATTAATTAACTGCTATATTGTACCGCCCCACATATGGGGAAAGCTGAAGTCAAAGTTTAGGGGCTAATGATAAATATCATAAAGCCTGCCATTAGAAATAAATAAATTTTAGCATTTCGGTTTAATATTAATGAAAGGTAACAAATTCGTGAAAACAAAGTGTACTTTGAAGAGTATGGTATACAAATTGCTTGATGATAAATTTCAGATATCTCGTAAGTTAAAGGATATTTTATGCAATAAGCAAAAAATGCCAAATGTGTCATTAAAAAAGTACTCCCCTTTTCTGGTACTTAAGGCATTGTGAAAGTTTGTGTACTAATTGAAGTTTGGGAAATATTTCCAATTTAGAAATTGAGTAATAGCCAAGGTTAAGCTTATTAATTAAGATAACAAGCAATAAATTAGCCACCTGGCGAAATTTAATTTTGTTGAAAAAAATCAATAAAACCATGCACAAACGTGACCGGACCACCAGTACATTCAAACTGGGATCCATTTTTTTTCTATAACTTAATCCAAAATACGGAGAGCAGAAGTGCCAGACATCGACGAGCTTTGGACATACGCCTGCCGACTAATTCAACAGAGTTTCGAAAGCCATCGCTTTAGGCAAAATAAGAGTCGAAGCCGGGTGGAATTTCTCGTAGATTTACTGCGATTTGACGCATTTGCCGACAGTCCCTTGGCACGACATCACCGAAGATCGTTGAGGAGATTTGCTCGTCTAAGCAATAGAAAAGGTGGTTTCTATCTTTCAAGAAATAACTTTCGCCGTAGACGAAGGTTACACAAGATGTGCGATTCTGCGAAAAGCGTGGTGAAGTCCAGGCCACATGGAGATGACGCATCGCTTTATATAAACTCCGAAACCATTTTCCCCGATGAAACTTCCCTGACATTTGGTTTGGATAAGAATTTCACAGAACCTATCCTTACTCAACGCTCTCTTACGCCCTTGATACCTTTTATAAACGAAGATGCTGAAAGCTCTGAGCTTCAAAATGAAAGGATAACCGCTGCGTATGAAAGAGCGGTGGACAGCGAAGATATTTCCGAAACTACTGAAGATCTTGATTCAAGTTTGGCTGAACTAAGAAATTTAAACGGCGAGATCAGTCGAGATTATACAAATTCCCCAACATCAGTTTCTGTATTGGATAAAGTTCAAAATCTGACAGGTGAACTTGTTTCCCAAACATTTGGCTCGGGATCACGAAGAAATATCAGCTCTCGAATCGAAGAACTGAGTAAGTCATTTAGTGTTTCTCAAGAAAGAGACAGATTGTCATCATTTTCATTGACAAGAAGCGTGCCATCTTTTAATTATAAATCAGCAAATATCGGTACTGTTAAACGGTCATATAGGGAACGAGATTTGACATCCACATCTACCACTGTTGTCTCAGTGCCTGCTTATGCCACTCCAAACCTTAAATTGAACCTAGAACCTGGTCAACTTAGAACGTTAACACAAGGAGGCATTTCTAACGCACCGCATACTAAAAAAGAAGCAATTGCCCCACAAGGACTTTCGTCTTTTTCTGGTAATACAAAAGGCAATATTCAAAAGGATATTGCTTATCAACCTACTAACTCAGCAAAGTATGAAAGAGAGGGAAACGATGAGACCGAGGTCTATCCAGTTGATTCAGAGTGTGATTCTTTTGATCTTAATGTTGCGAGGACAATGAATGGACCTTTAGAACCTTTACTTCAGCATGGTAATTGTGAGACAATTGCATCGGATATAACAATGACTAGTATTTCCGAGGTACTGATAAGAAATGGTACTCGATCCTCGAGGTATAAAGAGGCAAGCAGCCGTTTTACTCGCACAAACCAAGGATCCGTCAATATAGCCCCTATCAATAACAGAAGTTTGATTTTGAAATGGACTCTTGCTAATGTTCTAGTTTTGTCTATGTATGGTGCACTCAGAAGCTACTGGGGAAAGTTAACTCTTGGGGATATGTATTCGGTTGCAGGATACCTCTTTGGACTCTGCATTGTCGAATTTATTAACTTTATTCGGACAGAATGAGCGACTTGATTTGAAAGAATTCTTATAATCGCGTACTTGTGTCTTTTGGAGTATCGTCAATAGATTGGGAAATAGGACATTTAACCTCACCATGACGTCCGTATAAGCTTACAATAAATGTTTGAAAATACAGTATATTTACCTTCTAGCAAAATACATACTTTGCATCTACTTAAATGATATCTGGATTTTTATTAAAGAACTGAATCCTTGCTCCTACATAGTGTATTTACGAGCTTAGCCCATTTAGAGTACCATAGTTTAAAAAGGCATTCTAAAAGTGACTGCTTTATTTAATGTAAGCAATTTCTCATTATAGTAAATTTTGAAATTTGAAAAGCTATATAAATGCCCATTTTAAATTTAACAATTAATAACCTGCTAAAAACATTTATTAGGCGAAGCAAATGCGAATGGTGAAAAACGTAAACACTTTCAAAAAAAAATTAGAAATAATTGATAAAATACAATTAAGAAAGCAGTAATTGCAAAAATATATATTATTAAATATAAATAGGAAGATAAAATTTATATTTATTTGTCAATTATTTATATTTATCAAGTCTGCCTTTATATGATCTTGGTAACAAGTGCGCAGTTTAATCTCGGTCCCTTCTTTTCCTGATGCCTTTTTCTCTGTGGAAAAATGCCATCACCCCAATTAGAAGTTTGCAGTGCCGATGTGGTCCGATTAATGGCTGACCTTAATGACTGGCAAAAACTCGTTGTCCAGTTTGAATGTGTTCTTACGTGGGAAAAGCCTCTGGTTCTATTCTATATAATCCTTGTTGTGACTGCGTTTCATGCATTATTATGGGCCTTTGAGCCACCCTTTCTTGTTTCAGTAGGATATCTTTCACTTAGCTTCAGTTTATGGTGCTACTTTGGTCCAAGGCTGGCAATTAGGTATGTTTTCTTTAGGTAACTTCAATAATTCCTAGATTTCTTCCATCTGTTCCCATCACTGAACGCAACCAGAGATATCGAGCTTTTTGCCGAAGAATATTAGATGGTCGTCAACTTTTCATATTGGTCTATCGTCATATATCAGATTTGAGGCAGCGAAGACCCTATATTTACACAATCATCTGCTTATGCACCATTCTCAATATGGAAATTTTAACCTACTACTATGATGGAATCCTGATATCATATATGCTAACAATTATATTCCTACTTACTCCGGGTATTCGTCATACGGGTTTATTAATGGTAACTATTATAATTTCATGATGATCCATTATCTCTTAATAGCTCATATAACTTGTTTTAATTTGTTCATCTGTAATTATTTTAGATCATTTACCTGCTAGTAAAGAAGTCTTTTCATTTTGTTTGGCGGATTATTTCTCGGGCGGTTTCTTGCTTATGGATATCTTCCTCCCATAGAAGTGATTAGTGGATCTTTTGGAATTGATGACAGTCTTCTGATTCGCCCAACTTCTCTTTCTTTTGGGTTATTTGTATCTGCATGTCTTTCACATTTTATAAAGAGTACTGCTTTGGAGCAATATCTTGTTTGGCCTCATTGTACGTATCCAAGTTTGGTTGTTTTCATTAGTTACTTTATCTTACATTTTGACAAGTTATTTGCTAATAAAGATATAGAATATTCCGTCTCCTGGATGTTTTTTTCCCAGCTTTTGCCCATCCTAGATCCTTTATTGTCCATGTTAATGGGCAACTTATGTTAAATCGGATTCCACTCGTTGCATATTTAACTCAGTATTGATTCGTATTTGTGCACGGTTTAGTTCAAATTTTCTTCTTTTAAATTCATTAGTTTCCCCCGCGTTTTCACGTGTTGTTTAATTTCTGAAGTCTTATTTTCATTGTGGAGGTGGCATCTTTTAAGTTCTTGTCTACTTTTTTTCAAATTGCTGACAATAGATGCAATCGCCTCGCCCGATTTTTTTTGTAAACTCGTAATGAATTTTCCACGTGCAAGGTCGTACAAGGGTCAGATGGCCATTTCTCAAGGATTTGACGCTTCTCAGTTCGGCTTAATCTGGACGATTCTGCTAGTTTTCTTAGTGAATGTACTTTTGATTGTACTAATTTCTTCTTTGATGATGAATTTAGAGCTAATTATCGCACTTGGGATACATTGCCAGATCCTGGTTCAGTTGAAAATAACAACTTCACTGGGCCAGGTAGCTAAATTCCACCGAGAATATTGGATTTTATTTACCACCTATCCTTCCTAATTCATTCTTAATTTTAATGGTAATTATAACTAGTGGCTTACAAGCTGCCAACAAGACAAATTGAAAATTTTCCCAATTTCTGTCTGTCAGTAGGGGTATTGCAAAGCGGCAATTTAAATAAATACGGGTATTTATTAACAAGCACACTGTGGGTTGTCTTTTGTTTTCTGAATAGAGGAGGAAAGAACATGGAAGAGGAGTATAGAGAAAATAGATTGTTAGAATAGGTTTACTATAGTTTGCTGTTTATCGTAAGAAGTATAGGGGGATAGAAATATGGCGTAAATGCTTTGTATATATGTCTCATGCTGGCTATTTTTCATCAGTTTTTTCTTAAAATCCACGGTTTTTACCATCCATCTAGGTAAGAAAAAACCAAGATAATAAACCTCTCCTGGTAATGGATTCCACTCTCTCTCTCTTTTTTAACTTACGTAATATGAATGAACAAGACTAGGTGATGCAGCAGCCTTGTTTACAAACTGTTTCCTTGACTTGGGGTAGAAATGCTGAGTTCCAACGCCATCAGAATAAGCAATATCGGTCATAGGACTATGAATAATTCGACCAACATCATTGTATTCTGTCGATGGAGCCATAACCTGCAAGGAATATTTTCGATAAATTCAATTCTACTTAAATGGGTAAAGTAGAGAGTTTTACTCACAAGATCATGTAACGACTCGAAACGTATCACTGGAGCTTTGTGATGGGGAGATTGGGGATTATAATAATACTGAGTCGGTAGCTGTGCTACTTCAAGGGGAACTAAGACAGTGGGTTTGAAATCTTCAATACCAGAGCTACCGTCACTCATTGCCTGCCGGAGAATACCTGTAGTTAGATCACCATCCATAGCAAATCGGTTTCGTGAGCGAGCAAAATATTCATGATTGCTATTGTTACTGCTATTATTCACACTCGATGCTGATGCCATATGATTGTGGAGAGCATCAGTAACCAGAAACGCGTCTGGGGAGGAGATTGTCGTTGATTTAACAGTATCCGCCAGGTGCATTCTTCCGTTTGAAATGTTGCCAGGGTATTTACCGCCATGCCGACCAGCCTTACACATTGTTTTTAGGAAAATACGCAAAAGGTGTCGATTTTCCTGAAATTAAACCAAAAAACAACAACAATATTTGAACCATATTGAGTCAGTTCAACCCGAAAGCTCAAACCAAAGACAAGTTTCAATTTAGCATTCAATTAAGTAACCAAGCGTGTATTACTAAGATTTCGGCATAAAAACAAGATTACTTCCAGATTTCCTATTGTGTTAAAGATTTATTATGGCTAGAAATGGCTGAAAGATCTCTGGTCGATTAGAGGTCTGTGGAATTGGCAAGATTTAGAAGATTAAGCACGGGAACCCTCTTCCGCCTTTACAATTAGGAAACAGTGAGTTAGTAAATGGGGAATGGCATTAAATGCATGGATGAATTGATAAAATCATCATTCTAAGGTGCATTTAAGAGGTAGGCAGTCGGTACTTACGCCTTTTTCTCGAGGATTTGTTATTTTACCTTTCCTTAAATGCGTTTAAATTCCTCGAAAATAAACCCTTAATAAAGTCATAAATAGCTATTCCGTTATATTTGAGGATTTTAAAATATCCACATGTGCTTTGGGGCAGATAGTATATCGGTTGCTAAGACCCCCTCAGAGAGACCATCAACCTGAGTCATCCAATTTGTGTACACAATTTACGAAAACGTCGTCCTCAGCAGTTGGACGCATGTATATTCCACATGTTCATGTCTAAGGAAATACGGGAAAGATGCAAACAGACACACTTTTGTCAGCTGTTCTTTGGCAGTAATATATTCACTCATTATCATGAAAGCCCTTCAAAATTGGTGGATAGTTACGATTTCCCGAGGTAAGTAATAAATTCGAGGTGAGATATTATCGCAATTTCGGTTATTGTTATTGCAACTGTAAGCATTCCCCTATTTCGTGATGATATTTATCTGTTTTCCAAGCGGAATATATATATATATATATAGATAGATAGATAGATAGATATATTTAGCCATACGAGGCACGTTTGCATACTGTACATTAAGAGAAACCTTCCTCTATCTATCATGAAAAAAACGCCTTCTTCTTTTTCGTCTTCCAGTCCCTCTTCCTCTTATTGTCTGATGGAGTGGAATATTAATTTCTGAAAGGAACTCGAAGCCGATAGTACAAAGCGTGTACGGCATTCTTCATTCTCCTCTAACCCACCAACATTTTAAAACTATATTTAATCTTCCCTTTAGACCAAACCTCCTTGATTTATTTTCGATTCTAAAATCTAATTTCAGCCAATAGTGTTCTATTAAAATTAACTTAGTCAACAAAATAATCAATATTCTCATCGCTTCCTCGTTTAGTACAGAAAAAAAATATTTGCTTACTAAAAAGAAATAATACCACACAGTTAAGCATTCAAACTCCTTATTTAATATCTAATTCTGGTTTTCTTATGGGCAGGTATCTACTACAGCTCTTTGTTATTTCCAAGCTAAATAAAGCTCTTCAGAAATCGATATTTCACTTTAATGCGATAACTCAAATGTCCGTTACGATTTTTGTCAAGTAAAATGTGTTTTTTAGCCAAAAAATGAAATGGGAAAAAAAGCGAGCACTAAGCCGATAGCCTAAATCTAGTCGTCATTTCCCAACAGGAGTTCTCATTTGAAGTCAAACCTTTGATTTTTTGCACACACATTTAAGGACAAAACGTACATTTCAATTTCCATGTCCTGGAAAGAAGAGAGCTGAGTCATTAGACTGTGTCTAATTGTGACGAGCACAATGCGCACGTGTTTCGTAGTGTGTTTAGTGTGTTAGCAAGGTGATACCGCTCTAATTATCGATTTAAATTGCAACTCAGTGAATGGTGCATTACATTTTACACTGATTGGTTGAACGGATAAGCAAGTGAGGAAGCCTCATCATCTTCAGTAAGTTAGAAACAAGGTTGCATGGTTAACCGAGAATTGATTTCACGTATTTTGGCCTCGCGTCGTTAAAAATTCACCAGTGGGGATATTTCAACTAGATAATTTCCACCGTAAACTATTTTTAAGCCATGCCAAAGCCAGAAGCCTGTTTGAAATGAAGTATGTGAACAGGAAACCAAATATGTTCCAATTCCTAATGAATGTACTATAAAAGAGTCCTTTTATAATTCTTTGAATTACGAATAAAATTTTGGAAGTATTATTCACGCGAAGTTACAAAGCCTTCTTCTTCTAGATTTCCGCTGAAAAGTTCACTAATCACTCTTAACTATTTTTAGCGCCTCATATGGTAAATGTGTCTGTATTGGTGCAAAAGCACTTACATCATCGATTACAGCGACCAAAAGAAACATGAAGACGGCGGTTAGAGCAATTCCTATTGGCAGAATGAGGAGCATAAAGACGGGGCTTATAATTTGGACGTAGATGAGCATGTAGGGTATCCCCAGAGTGAGCATAAGCTGAGCCAACACAAGAAGGTGCCTGAAAGTTAAAATGATTTAAAATTTAATTTTCTATTTATAAGTACAAAGGCTTAATTAGAATTCGAATTACGTTGATTTGTTGACTCGACTTCGGCGAATCGCAAGGTAGTTGCGAAGTACAACACAACCGACTGTTATTAGAACTATGAGGTTGAATAAGACCACAGCTGTAATAGGCGCCAGAAGTGGCCACCGATATCCTAGGAGATCCGGTCCAATACAACTAAAACATGAAAATAATACATCAAAATCAGTTGCTATACACCAGTGGGATGTTGATAACACGTTTATTTTCAACGTCCGAGGTGATAAGATTGAAAGAAATTGTTCGATATTGATAGAGTGGGGGGGGGGGGTTTAACACTTTTATCCAACTGGCTTGAGATGTACAGATGTTAGGTAGGAGACACCCATTAATAGCGATGAACACGGAAGATGGAATATAGTCATTGTGGAATGATGATGATGATGATGATGAGTAATGTGGTATGAATTATGTGCTGCGGTAGTCTAGCAGTCGCAAACACCTCCCTTTCATCTCATGGGAAGCGTTCAACCTCAATTACACACGCATTAAGTAATTTAGATGACAAATCACAGACATATTATAGGTAAAAGGAAAGGGGATTCCCATGAAGAAGAAGAGATGTGCAGAATGAAGTCCCTTAAATTTCAATGGAAGGGTGAATTTGGATTCTACTTCATAATCCGAAATAACTGATCACTGATATAGGCTATCTTCGAGAAAGCAAAATATCTGAACAACCAAGAAATACCCCTCAAGGTGGAGAAGTCTTTCGGGGTAGATCGACATCTTGTCCCGATGATTGATCTAAAACTCACCATGTTGAAGCAATTTCATTGTGGATACCTAGAAATACGACAAGCAGTAAGTATGCTGCCTGAAGGAAGAAATCGATTTTTGTGCAAACAATATCTTTGTTTTGTGTACACCAGAGTATCCCTTATCACTATTTACCTTTATCAAGTAAAAATCTCATGATAAGGTAGTCTCACTTAAATTATTTTTGAAACATTCAAATGATCGACAACTTGGAAGGAGGAACTTACAGTCCCAGACCCGATTTGAACTGCCGAGCCATTCCAAACCAGCAGCCTACAATCAGAGCTGGTGTGATGTAGGCGCAGATTGTTACGGGGATGTAGACTAATCTCATTGTGAAGATGTCACTGGAATCTGAGTGCGGAGCAACTCTAAAATGTAAATGACATGGATTGAAGGGGCTCGTAACACTTTATTGATCCAGTGGGGGAGGGGGTGGGGTGTAATGAATTCACTGTGAGTTCACTCATTCACAGCCAATTCCCATGTTGATCTCACAGGGGTGTGCGATAGACTTACCCCTCCACGTGGTGCACCCTAGGCAACGTATACTCATATGGCAAAAAGGTCTTAACCGACAGTTGACTTCAGACTCAAACTACCATGACCCCACCGAATGCCATATTCTACCACTTCCACGGTATTCACATTACCTTTTCTCTACCTTTGTGTCTGTCTCTATAACATCTTTGAAACACTTATTTGTTCCCCCCCCCCTCCTCCCTCTCGACTTTTTCACTTTGATTTTCCTTCCCTCTGTGAAGCCCGTAGCCAGCTAAAGGGCTAATGATAACTATCAAAACGCCTGCCATTTTATATAAATAAGTAAATCGTGAACAGTACACGACACAATTTTTAGCCTGAATTGGTTCTATTAATCGAAATACAAGACAATCACCACCACCGATTAATATGAAACTCTATTGTCTCTAATTAGATTTCAAGCTATTGATTTGAAAAAAGTAGCGTTTAGTCTAACAAGAGTAAACCATTCCGTTGAGCCATCGATTCTAGCTACAGGTTCAACTTCTATTCATTTCTAAAAGGTCTCTATCCATCCATCAACCCTGTTTGAGCTATATTGAGAAAAATCCTACATCTAAAACATGATTTTGACTTGGGTTATGGTGGTCTCGATATAATGGTTAAAGAAAGTTTAAGGAAAGATCTCAGTATTATGAGAGCCCTTTCGATGGAGTTTAACCTCCAAGAAAGGTGAATGAGAATTGGAATAGATGTCGGTTCATGTGGAAAAGAAGGTTCACGTTTATTCGTAATTCTTCCAACACATCCATATCAAATTCATTCGAGTACAGAGGAAATCGAACTCCCAAATTGTCCAAATTCGAAAGATCTAGTGGTATTGGTTGTAGTGATCCGTACTCATCAAATACACCACATAAACTAAGCACATAATTTGAGGCCAAAAAAATTATGATCTAATTTCCTTTGTACGCTTACCCCGGATAATAGTATTCACACAACAGAAATGAAAAAAAAGGTAATACTCTTTGCAGACACGACTAGAAGACAGAGAAAATGTGAAGGGATAATTTCACCTAACTCTTGAAATGAAAATTCTCAAGCACATCAACGGGTAAAAATCATTTTGCCAAGCTAATTTTGGATAAGGAGGTGTGTGCGAAATCTAACTGCCGTCACCTCATTCATTAGGCCAAAAAAATTCAACCATTTCACAGTTGGCTACTCCTGTGGAATCGAATTCTTCGCCTCTATCGATCAGGTTCATCATTGCGCCACGCCTATTGGACATCTAAAGGACTCTTTAAGGAGAAAGCAGAATTTTGCAATCGCCACTCACAACCCTCTCATATGCGGGGGGAATATATTACTCATTAAATATGCATCTTCGAATATCGATCCTAGCAAGCTCGCATATTATAGCTGCCGCATTAAAGTCATTAGAAAGTTTCTTGAAAATATCTCCTATTCCCATAATAAATAAATAATTGCAATACAAATAAGTAGAGGCTGGGCTTTTACCGTGTGTGTGTGTGCGTGTGTTTGTGTTTGTGCATCACAGTGTCATTTTATTCCTTACTATTCGGCACAAATAGTTTGACCGAGGTATTTAGAACTTTATGCAACAGTTTGTCTCAAGGGAGAGCGAAAGGGGGAAAGAGTGTGTGTATGTGTGCCCAAGTAAAGTAAACATTAATGGCTAATGAGAAAAAGGGCCATATTCCAAATATACAGCTATTAAAAATGCCCAATAAAAAGGCTATACAAAAGCCAATATTGTGTTTACGATAATAAAAGGTTATTTATGGTAAATAAACCTTAGGGATGGTCGTTTAAAGCAAAATAGAAAACTGCCCTCCCCTAGAAAAGGCAAAAATACAGATTAGTGCTTTAAATTTTAGTAAACCAGATTATTGGCATAACTCGAAAGTAGATGATATCTTAGACCCAATTTTCGGACATTCTAAGCTACGATCGATTGGTAGTTTCCACATCATATACTTGATTGCCAAATGAAGTACCACTTATTTTTAAAATTACTTCTAGCGCCATAGAAAGACCGCTCTGACCCAATTCCAAATACAGAGTGCCAAGAATGCCCCACCTCTTTAGATGAACTCCTAACAAGTGATGTATTCATATCTTGGCTCGTTTCTAGGGTTGATTTTGTCAAAAGACGAAGGTAACAAAAATGTGAGCCCCTTCGCAAATGTGTGTATTTCAATTCAAATTATGTAAAGCGATCCAAGTCAATCATTACACAGGAACTTTAACACTACCTACTGTCTCCGCCGTTTGGTATTATAACTCGACATGATTACGCCAATACATTACTGGCTTTGTTGTTGAGGTTGGCAACACATGGAAACAACGTCTATTTAGCTGTCCTCAAGTGCGTTGACCTGCGGCTTCCCAACCCACCACGTCCCATTCTACCCACGTAAACTACCTTTCCATGAAAACACCAGAAGATCATGAACTGTGTATGCGTGACTCTCGCTAGAGTTGAAGGGGGTGAGAGGAAAGACGAATTGAAGGACCTCAGTCTTAACACAGAGATTATTCTATGCCTTCCACAGAGATGACAGCCTCCACGTTCTAAAAGTCATATTTATATACCATGTCTAATGGGAAAAATTAAATGTTTGAACTTTCAATTAAAAGATAAATGACTCCTCAGACCAAAACTTTTTAATACATTTTATTCCTAAAATTATTTTCAAATCATCTCACTAGAAATGGACTTTGAATCTTAGATTGTAGTGGATTGCTACACGAATAAGCCTTAACTTACCTTCGGAAAAACTGTCTTTCCACACAATGAAGGCCTTAATCAAGAGAGAATTACATGTCTTTCCACACAATGAAGGCCTTAATCAAGAGAGAATTCAAGACCTCAAGGAGCAACGAGCTTAAAACTCAAACAAAGGAGAAACAGTGGACAGTGGCACTATCCGACATAGCCGACTGGCCAAGAATCGAAACCGCTGCAGAGTTTAGACTACGTACCGGATACGACTGCTTGGCAAAACACCTTCACAGATTGGGAGTATACACTCAACCTACATGCCCCCTATGCAACCTACAGGAGGAAATGGAGAAGACCCACCTGATTCAGTGTCCAGCCCTAAAGACAACGACGGAAAGCCAGAGATACTGGGAAGCCAGAAGACAACTGATGAATTGATATTAATTAACTGCTATGTATGTACCCCCCACCTAAGTGGGAAGCTGAAGTCTAAGTTTAAGGGCTAATGATAAATATCACAAAGCCTGCCATTAGAAATAAATTAATCTTCGGAAAAAATCTACAGTAAAAAGCGCTTATATGGAAAGGCTTCTGGAATTAGCAAAGCAGAAAAACAACGATATAGAGGAAATGGACACTATGACGCGGAACGTGGAATATTGATGCGGTGATATGCTAAGGCATTAAATACTGTTTGGATAAGATGTTCCTGTAGTGACTGCCGATGATTGGTTGGTCAAGAGGACCCCCACACACACTCGCCATCTCTTTTGCTCCCTACCACCGCTGGCATCACCTCCATGCGTTCCAGAATGTTCTAGCGCGTACGATGTTGTGTACTCCATAAGGCACCCAGACACTTGAAATTTTGAAACCGACTTACTGCATTAAATAGCAAACGATTCTTTAAGTGAAGGCTACTAAATCTAAACTTGGCTGGAGAAATTATATAATCAAGAGAATCCCGTGATAGCGTCAAACCCCCCCCCCCAAATATTAAAATTCAGACCTTATCCTCCAGTATTTAACAACAGTTTTTTCCCAACCATTGGCATTTGTTTATTGAAAAGAGGAAGGAATTCAAAACAAATTGCAGTCTCCAATTATCGAATCAAAAACAACACTTCTAGACGAGGCTTAATTATAAGTCCAACGATTTAAAACAAATAGTAAAAAACAAAAAATATGAAAAATTAAATACATATATATATATATATATATATATATATATATATATATATATATATA